TGTTTCCTATTCATTCTTGCACCTAGTACAGTTACTAGCACATAGTAACAGATGACTTTTTAAAACATTTTTTTATTGTGGTAAAAAGTAATAACATAAAATTTACCATCTTAACCATTTTTAACTGTACCATTCAGTAGTGTTAAATATATTCACACTGTTGTGCAACCAATCTCCAGAACTTTTTCATCTTGCAGAACTGAAAGTCTATACCATGAAAAAACAACTATTTCCCACTACTTCTACCCACTGGCAACTACCATTCTATTATGTTTCTAAGAATTTGACTCTTTAGATGCCTCAAATAAGTGGCATCATACAGTATTTATCTTTTTGTGACCAGCAACTAGACTGAAGAACAAAACAGCAATTTGTCTACCTGTCTGTTTCCCTCCCCCCAATTCCCCAATAAAATCTTAAAAAAAAAAGTTAGCTATATTGTTGCAACAAGTTCACGAACTTAATTGTCAGGCCTCATATAGTTCTTCAAATTCTGGTTATTAAATTATCATATATATGATTTGTAAATATTTTCCCCCGTTCTGTAGGTTACTTTTTCATTCTGTTGATAGTGCTCTTTGATGTACAGAAGTTTTAAATTTTCAAGTAGTCTAATCTTTATTTTTACTATTGTTGCCTGTACATTTTTTGTTTTCTTTTAAAGATTTTATTGGGGAATTGGGGGAGGGAAACAGCGCTGGGGAATCGGGGAAGGGGAACAGACAAGTTGCTGTCCTTTGGTCCTTCAGTCTAGTTGTAGAGGATGTCGCTTCACTGGCCCATGTTGGTACTATCACTGCATTCTTCCTGGGTGAGGCAGATTGGTCGCCGGCCATTGGACGGTCGCTCACGGTGGCTCAGGGCAGCTTTTGCCAGCTGCCAGCCACTCACGGTAGCTCATGGCAGCCCACTGCAGCAGGGGCTGCAGCCTACACTGTCACCATCGACTCACAGCAGCCCAGCTCCAGGTCAAGCTGTTGTTCACCATCTTAGTTGTGGAGGGCGCAGCGTCACTGGTCCATGTGGGATCCGAACCGGTGGCCCTGCTGCTCAGAACTCGCACTCCCAAGCCAACTCTTAACCAACTGAGCCACTTGGCCAACCCTTGTTGCCTGTACTTTTAGTGTCCTTATCTAGGAAATCATTGTCAAGTATAATGTTGTGCATGTCCCCTATTTTATTCTAAGAATTTTAGTGTTAGGTCTTACGTTTAGGTCTTCAATCGACTTTTAGTTTTTATATACTGCCAAGGTTTCAACTCCATTCTTCTACATGTGGATATCTAGTTTTCCTAAAACAATTCTTTGAATAGATTTCTCTCCCCATTGTATGGTCATGGCTTCCTTGTTGGAAATCACTTAACTATATACAAGGTATGATAAAAAAATACAGTGAATGTTCAAATTAAAAAAAAATTATTACAGTAAAAGGCACATTGCCATTAATCTCCCTCAAAATACTCCCCCTTGCTTTGAATACACTTATCCCATCATTCTTGCCACTTTCTGAAGCAGTTCTGGAAGTCCTCTTTTGTGAGTGTCTTTAGTTGCGCTCTCATGTCTGCCTCAATGTTCTGAGTTGATTCAAAACGTTTACCTTTCATGGTCATTTTGACTTTGGGGAAGAGCCAAAAGTCACATGGTGCCAAACCTGGTGAATTAGATGGATAAAGGACACACCATAATGTTTTCATTTGACAGAAATTGCAATACCAGAAGCGATGAGTGACATGGAGCCTTTCTGTTGTGATCACACAGTACAGTGAATGCTGCTGCCAAGTGCCATCCAACAAAAAGGCAGGGATCGTCAATATGGGAAGCAGTGTGTTGAACCTTAGTAACAGTGTGTGACAAGTTTCAACTTGTTCACTTCAGTCAGTTGGGTGTGAGCTATGGTTGAGGTGTGTTTTAAAGTGTGCCATAAATCATCCTCCAGCATGACAATGCTGTGTCACACAGTGCTTTGGGTATATGGCAATTTCTGTGAGTGGGTATAAATGTCTAATCATTATGCTGTTTTACACACCTGAAATAAAAAATAAATAAATAAATAAATAAAACATTACGGTGTGTCCTCATCCACTTTATTCACCAGATCTGGAACCATGAAACCTCTGGCTCTTCCCCAAAGTCAAAATGATTCAGGCCATTGAGGCAGCCACAACAGTGCAACTAAAGGCACTCATGAAAGAGGACTTCCAGAACTGCTTCAGTAAGTGGCAAGAACGATGGGATAAGTGTGTTCGAAGTGAGGGGGTGTATCCTGAGAGGAATTCATGGCAATATGTCTTTTACTGTAATAAATTTAACATTTAAAGATTCACCATATTTTTTTTATCATGCCTTTTATGTAAGGGTTTATTTCTAGGCTCGCTTCTTCTGTTCCATTAGTCTGTATTGTCTGTCTTTGTGGTAATACCACAGTTTTCATTACTGTAGCTTTGTAATAAGTTTTAAAGTCAGAAATATGAGTTCTCCAGTTTTGTTCTAAGATTAGGTTGGCTATTTGGGATCCCTTGAGATTCCATGTGATTTTAGAATGGATTTTTCTATTTCTGCTAAAAATGCCACTGGGATTTTGATACAGATGCGGTAAATCTATACATTGCTTTGGACAGTATGGACTTCTTAGCAACTTTAAGTCTTCCAGTCCATGAAAATGGGATATCTTTCCATTAATTTGTCTTGTTTAATTTCTTTCAGCAATGTTTTGTAGTTTTCAGTACACAAGTCTTTTGCCTCCTTGATAAGGTTAAGTGTTTTATTCTGTTTGATGTTATTATAAATGGAATTATTTTCTTAACTTCCTTTTTGAAACGTTCATTGTTAGTGTATAGAAACCCAACTGATTTTTTTTTTTTTAATTGGGGAATTGGGGAGATGGGAACAGTGCTGGGGAATTGGGAGAAGGGAAACAGACAAGTTGCTGTCGTTTAGTTCTTCAGTCTAGTTGTGGAGNTTCAAAATATTTAAAAAACAAAAACACTTTGGAAAGGATTGTATAAAGTATATGAATCAGACAAAATGAACATGGAAAACCAAGTCCATTTACAGCATTTCTTTAGTTCGGAAGAAATTTGAGGGGAATCCTAAATGCTACAAAGATAAAAGTCAACATGTTTTCCATTCCCACTTTTATCACACCCACTGCTTCACCCTGTACGCGCAAACATGAACATACACAATAATCTCCAGAGAACGCCTCCCAAGAAATTATTTAATAAATCATAAAAATTGCACAAATCAGCAGCCGTAAGAATTGTAGCATGGAAAATTCCAAAGATCCAGCTTTTAGCAGCTGAGAGGTAGAGGGTGTTTTACAAAAGAATTCTGTATCAAGTTCTTTCTTTGAGGGAGTATGGCAGCAAAGAAAAAAGTTTTATAACTTGATTTAATTATAAACAACATTCAAATGAAAGTAAAACTTTTATGAGTTGGCAAAGAAACTACCTGATATTTAGATTACAAACCTTTCCCTACAAGGACAGAAAGTTTATACTGGTTTAACAATGGTGAAAAAGAGTATGATACAAGTAATTGCAATGCAGCCCATACTCTCCCCGAGCCAAATAATTCATTTGTATTCTAAAACTTTACCTATTTTCATAGAGTATGTATTGTTAAAATACAAATATCAAGAAGTATAAGCAAACAACTTGAGAAAAATGGAGTTAAAAACCCTTGCAGAAAGCTAATTGAACTTTAAAAAAAACCCACGGAGGTAAAGAACAAGATTAAACTGCACATCAGATAGTCAACAAAAGGATTTACTTTGCATCAACCCACACAATCAAAAGGCTATCTTAAATTGATCACTGAGCAGAGAATTCAGCAAGTCCAAAGAGGGAGGGTGGGGGTGAGGGTTGTTTAAAAAAGATAATCTGTAGACGGAATGATCCAAACAGCAAGAGAATTCTTTAAATCTCTCAATTAAAAAACAGATGCCAGTACCACCTCATGCCCTTCCTTGTCTCAACATGATTGCCAATACATCTGTACTCTTCAAAGTTCCAGGGGTCATAAAAACAGCTTTGTACTAGCTGAATGACTTGCTTTCAACTTCTGTATCACGGATTCCATTCAAATTCACTGTCCTTTCTCTACCTGGGGTGGAGGTGCTGGTTTGCCATTAAGAGCCATCTGAAATAGGGAGGCTTGGCCTGCTGGAGGCAAAGGTGCAGTCTTCAACTTTTTCGTACTAGTTTTGGATGGTCGTTCCTCCTCTTCTTCATCAGAATCTTGAAGGCCATACTTAGAAAAATGAGATACCTAAGGAAGAGGCAAATCCAACAAAATCAAGTTTAACATTGTTATACTCAGAAGAGCTTCCACAATATTTGCCCTTGCAGTCCTGCAGATTAGCTTAAAAAAATTTAAAAATAATAGATTATCAAAATATTTATTTAAAGCACAATATAGTTTCACGTATCATACTTTACTGTTTTTCAAAGATTTAGTTGATGTTTGGTGCATGTACTAGTTGCTCGTATAATTACTGAATTAATATATTAACTTAGGAAACTGAATCCTCAAGAGCCATTACAATTTTCACACCTATATACTACCTAACTGTTCTCTAACAAACATGAGGGCCTTCATCAAGTCAAATAATCCAATTAGCCTAGAAGAGAAAGAAACCAATGGGTTAAACTTTATCAAGGAAGGGAGAGTCAACCTCTATATCCCAGAAATCTAAAAGAATGAGAATTCTTGGGCCAGCCGAGTGGCACGTTGGTTAAGAGTTGGCTTGGAACGCCAGCTCTGAGCAGCAGGGCCCCAGTTCAGATCCTACATGAGGGCCAGTGACGTTGCGCCCTATACAGCTAAGATGGTGAACAATAGCTCAACCTGGAGCTGGGCTGCCATGAGTCACCGGCAATGGCGTAGGCTGCAGTGGGCTCCCATAAGCTACCGTGAGTGGCTGGCAGCCAGCATGAGCTGCCAAGAGCCGCCATGAGTGGCCGTCCAATGGCCAGCAACCGATCTGCCTCATCCAGAAGAGTACAATGATAATGCTAACATGGGCCAGTGAAGCGACATCCTCCACAACTAGACTGAAGAACAATAGGACAGCAACTTGAACTTATCTGTTCCCCTTCCCCGATTCCCCAATAAAATCTTTAAAAAAAAGAATGACAATTCTTTAGGAAGAGTTGATCTATGAAAAGACAAAAATTCTTCCTGATGTTGCTGATGATGTCACCCAAGAAATCACACCTTAGAAATGTATCTAAATGCTCACAGGATGGAAGAGAGGATTTGAATCATGAGCCCTAGCGTTTATCTAGAAGTGTAATTTGGAGTAAATCATGATGTATCTCTACATCTATTTCCTAACTTGAAAATAAAGAGAATTTAAGAGAGGATCACTTCTAACAAACATTTTATGAGTCTCATTACATTTAATTAAACTAGGTTAAATGACTATACCTTAAACACCCAAGAACCCGTTTCAGGACGGTACTCTTTGAACTGAGCACCCTGTTTCCTCGAAACTGCTTCTAATCTTCCCTCATAGTTGATATCAGCAAGTCGATCGGGGCTCTTTATTAAACAACGAGACGTTTTATCTGTTGGCCAAACTCCGTCCAATGTAACTTCAGCCTTCCTGTAATGTATAACCAATAATGTGTAAATGTTTCATATTTAAGACCAGAAAGCCAATTAACATATATATAAATAGCAAATAAAAGTACCTATGTTACTTTGGAATTATTCTGCAGGTGTTTTATAAACTTGAGTCTTGCCTCCCAAAGCAGATAAGCTTAAGAACACAGTATTAATTACTCCCACTCAACTAGCTCAGTATCTGGTTCAACAGTCAAACTCTATTTATTCCAAACTACTATGGTACATCAATTATTTCCAATCTAATTTTAGTAACATATAAGCTATACATCCTTGACAAAGTCCAGTGCCACTAGCTCAGTGGTCATAGTCCAGTGCTAAGATCTAAGTCCTAGCGAAGGTCTAAGAGAGCTATTTTGCTTAACAGCAGCAACTACCACTGATAAACAACAAATGCTTGCAGAAAGAAGTATCAGGAATATCATGGTATTAACCATTAAACAGTGAGTGTAAAGATGACTATAACTGGTTATATACCCTTCTAATATTAGTACCTGAGTTCAAGGACTGTTTCCTATTCATTCTTGCACCTAGTACAGTTACTAGCACATAGTAACAGATGACTTTTTAAAACATTTTTTTATTGTGGTAAAAAGTAATAACATAAAATTTACCATCTTAACCATTTTTAACTGTACCATTCAGTAGTGTTAAATATATTCACACTGTTGTGCAACCAATCTCCAGAACTTTTTCATCTTGCAGAACTGAAAGTCTATACCATGAAAAAACAACTATTTCCCACTACTTCTACCCACTGGCAACTACCATTCTATTATGTTTCTAAGAATTTGACTCTTTAGATGCCTCAAATAAGTGGCATCATACAGTATTTATCTTTTTGTGACCAGCAACTAGACTGAAGAACAAAACAGCAATTTGTCTACCTGTCTGTTTCCCTCCCCCCAATTCCCCAATAAAATCTTAAAAAAAAAAGTTAGCTATATTGTTGCAACAAGTTCACGAACTTAATTGTCAGGCCTCATATAGTTCTTCAAATTCTGGTTATTAAATTATCATATATATGATTTGTAAATA